CTCACTGATAATTTGTTTTCTTTTTCTGCACAAAAACGGTACACTTGAAAGTGGAGCCACTTCCTATAGAGACAGATTTTCTTTGTACTGACCAACACACTAAAGCACTTCATACCCAACACACAAACTCCTGTTCCTTGTACTCTATCTCTGCACATGATCTCTATTCTTTTATTTTAGAAGGTACTGTGTTGAAGAAGCCCTTCTCTCATGCTTCCAACATCTTTCATAGCCTAAAATCATTTCTTTGGTACTATATTCTTAAACTCCTAATTGCAGAGAAATTACCAGAGCAATCTCAACTATACCATCAGCTGGAGAGGCCATCTGTTAAATTACTGCTTCCTCTGAACTCTTTTAATACTCCATCAGCATTCAGAAGGGTGTTGTTGGATCTTGGGTCCCAGTAGTAATTTTAAAACTACATAAGAAATTCTGCAAAAGGGCAGATTTTAGTTTTTTTTTATTTCCTTTCCTAAAAATCTCCAAGTCATTTGCTAGATGTCCAGCCTTTTGGACTCTCAGGGCACCTAGTGCTCTGCCAGTGGCAGCAAATTAGGCTGTCTGGTTCATAGTATTTTAATTCTGTCTTCCCAAGAGCTGCAGGAAGACCAGCTTCTATTGCTAGATGGCTGCTGGAAAATGTGACAGTGACAGCAAGGTCAGAGATGAACGGGTGATGCAGCATTAACTGATTTCGAAATCTGTTCAGGAACATAAATCAGAGGGCTAACTGGAGAGCAAGAAATGCCATAAGTAACATACTATTTGTAATTAATATTTTGGCCACAGAGATACCAAAGCTAAGTACGAGAGAATAATGATACCATCTTAAACCAGCACTGTGTAAGAGCAAGTGTGTTGTAAAGACAGACTGTTTTTTAAAACAAAATCTTGTTTCTTTTTTTTAATATATTGCGCAGAAGAACCTTCCACGTCTTCAGATTTCGAAAGTATTATCCTCATGTTACAAACTCAGAAACTGTCAAAAGAGCAGAGGAGTCAATTTGGTCCAGTACCATTGTAAACATCCGCTTTGATATCCAAGTGGGAAAATAAATATTTAAAATGCAGAAGAATTGACTTGGTGGTGCTACACATTTGAAGTACTTTATTTTAACAGCATTCAGTATCTATCAAAGTAACTAGGGTACAAGATATGAAATTGTACCTTTACCTTACCATAATTTGAAAACTAATTTTCAGCACTGTATAAAGGCAAAGCTCATTTTTTTAATCCTTCTTTGCATTCAATTGCCCTAATAAATAGCTATTTCATCATTATTAAATATACTTATGATTTTTAAGTGATTTATTCTTGCTTTTATAAGCCTACATTAGAATTGCTTTTCTACTTCTTTAAACGTGGCTTTCCCTTAAAGCAAACCATAGCAACTGCAAAGAAGTTACCTGCACCCCCTAAGATCAGAGCAAATTGCTGAAGCATTACTAATTTTGAGGTGGGAGGAGTTGAAGAAATTAGGGCTTTTATATAAAAAGCTTAAATGACTCACAAAAACTCTTTTGGCATAGCTTATACATGTCTGACAACAACAACATATATAGCATTTCCCATCATCCAAGTGCTGCACAAACTAGTTGTTCAATTGTTCAAACCCAAACCTTACGCCCAGGACAAGGTATTTTCAGGTAGGTCAGGGAACAGAACACATTTGTGACAACAGGGAACTGGATGCTACAAAGCAGTGGCCTCATCAGGTCTGCTAAACTACTTGACACTTTGCCTTCAATAATCCGTTTTTTTTTTTTTTTTTTTTCTTCTTCCCCTCGCAAGTAACAGCTACCTGGTGTAACAGCCCATGAGATCTTCAAAATAGCCAAAAAATGTCTGCAAGTGGTTAGGTAAACACAGTCACATCCATTTATGGCTTTTGAGCTAAGCCAAATTGCCAGACCCATCACCAGTAATAGTACAGTGCCACACATACACAGACGTACACAAAAATTATCCAGAAATCGAAGGATGGAGCCACATACCACGTTCAAATGGACTGAAGGGCTCTGTTAAACAGGCATCAACACCAGAAGGCATCTTCTGCATGTGAGTCTTACCCATTTATCACAGTAGTATTTGCTTGGTAATCATTTCCATAAGCTGATCAAATTCCACCTTATAGTTGCTTTATTATTCTCCAGTGCTCTATTTAATACATTCCAGGTTCTCACTCCTCCAACGATCAGAAATATATTTTCAGACTACCTCTAGTTAGAGCCGGCTTATACGCACTTCTTGCCGTATACAGAGCTTCATCTTTGTAACTAATGCTATAAAAAGAAAGTGCTTTTTTTTTTTGCACTGCTGCTGGCCTTCTGCCCTGAAGACAAAGCACTCCCAAAGGAAGAGCATCTATCCATCAGATAACACAGTGGCTTTCCCTAATTAGGGTGCAGCTAACATTAGCCGTTCAGCAAGTGAACAGAAGGCTCCATATATATTGCTGCTGCTGCTTCCACCTACCACCTGCATTTCTGCTTCTCTGCACCCCGTCCCCACTGCCTCCTCACCCCACAACATTTCCTTTGTCAAATTCTCCCACTCAACTTTTTGCCTGAAATAGCCTTTCTCCCCTTACATGCCAGGTACAATCCCCTCCCTTCCTTTCAACACTCTCTCACACCATTTCCCTTCATCTGCTTTGTTCCACTCAGCTCTGCTTGGGGGCCTCCATTGCTATTAGCTATGCTGCACAAGGAAGATTTTGCCTCAGTCATCACACACACTGTCACTCAAGAAGACAAGTGTGGGCTTGAAGACCTTCTGCAAAGCACACCTGACAGGGCACAGAGATCTCGGGCCTCACAGTGAATAGCAGTTCCCTTTTAGCTCTTCACCAGGCAGTGACAACTAATCCTTCAATCCATACAAGAACCCAAGGGGGAAATATGTTCACAATGACCCATAAAGGGTAGAAATAGGTGCAGACATCCCCATATTCAGGTTTGGCGCTGTCTGCCAGAAACATAGCCATGCTTCCGTATCCAAGACAGCAAAATTGTGTGGAATCAAAGAGCACCTTTGCCCAGGGATGTGGAAACACTGTGCACCCAGAGACAGGCTGCTTTCAGACTGGCGCTTGCAGCGTTCTGGAAAGGTGCACCTGGAGCAGCCAGGATGTGCCCTTTTACACCTGTAGCCCATGTTATTCAATACAAGACCTTTCCAGCCTGAATGAACGAGCCTGGCAGCTGCTGAAGAGTCTCTGTTCACCCAACATCCTACTGGAAGAAAAAGAGTCAGTCGTACCGTAACTTTCTTCTGCCTAAGAGGATCTCCCTAAACAAGGCAACACTTACAGCAAGTGTGCAGCTCTTCAGCTCCATCAGGTGTGCAGATGTTCCTGGTCCTCTGCAGGAACTCCACCAACCTGTGCGCTTTTTACTTCACAGCTTTGCTTTCAGAGCACGCACAGTACTTAACACTTCTAAGGCACTTTACATTTCCTGAGCACTATACAAACACCAGCTAATTAGAGACACTAACTAGCAGATCCTAGGAAACTAAATGTCAGTGGGCAGGGAGAATTCCACCCCCCCCCTCCCCTCACCCCATTTAAAAAAAAGTAAAGTTAAGGATTGAAAGATGTCTAAGAATATGCTCTGTGAACTATGGAATAAGGATCTTCCAACAGAAAACATTATCTTTGGGAATCCCATATTGCCATTGTGGAGGAAAGCCCCAGCTCACCCTGACCAGATATGAATGCAAGCAGTTCTGCCATAACTGCTGAAAAGGGATCACACAAACTGCCAGCTGCAATTTCTATTCACAACCGACCTCTGCATTGTGCCGCTCTCCTCCGGAGCCGGCGCTACACTGCAGCCGTGCCTCTAGGGGCTCTGCTCTGAAGAAAGCAGCTGAAAAGAATTTGCTAATCTCTTAATTAGGGGCACCCACTTCACCTTCTACAGGAATAATTTAGAGAGCCTGAATGAGCCACATGTCACAAAAGGCAAAAATTTAATAACTGAAACCAACTCAGATTGTTGGTTCATTTCCCTGTACCTACACTCAGCCGTGCAAAACACTGAAGGGAAGTACTTGGTGTTAATTAAGAACAGCTTCAGAAACCACTCATCATAGCCTTTTTCAACAGACATCCTTGCTCTCAAATTTCTGGTGGGAGTTGCTTTACACCAACAAAGTCACTGATTTTAGGTCTTAAGCACAGCTCTAGAAATACAACAGCTAGGGCCATGCTCACTTAAATTTTCATAAACCTTGTTTAAGCCACAACAGCTCAGGGATTAACTGTACTTTCCTAGCTGAACTACTTCACTGCTTGGAAGATTAGAACAAAAGCACGCACCAAACCCATGAAAGATGCCTGTTAGGTCTCATCATCCATTCTGCTCCCTCCTTCCTCAGACCTCCCACACAAGGCCAGTCCCATGAAACTTTTGTGCAATGCCATGGGCATAAGAAATAAATCAAATCCCATCAGAGTTATCTATTCTAGGGATACCAGGGGCGTAAACTGCACCCTGTGCAATTAGTGCAAAGGTCAGAGTTAAACTCTCTTCCTTCCCACTGACATTTTTACAGTGCTCTGCTCAGAAGAGGCTGCACACACCCTTCTGTCTACACCCACCGGCTACAGTAGGAAAGAAGAGTAGGGTCTGCCTCCCTTTACATAAAAGTCTGGTTCTCAGCTATTCTCAAGTGTCTGGGGGAGAAACTCTGTGCCTAGAAAATGTCTCCCTCTCCAGTCAAGAGGGACTCAGGTAGTGAAACAGACAAACAAAGACACATGGATACCATGGTGATCAGGGCCAGACAAGAAAGCAAATTAGCTCCCATTATGATAATGTCCTGGCTTTCCGAAAGAGGCAATTTGCATGGAGCCACTGAAAAGCAAAATAAAGATGATTTAACAGAATTTTTGCTTACTGTTTAACCCTGTAGCAATGGGACAAAAGGTCTGGACCATCAGACTGCCACTCTTTGCATCAGCAGAGATGGTCCAAATATAAAAATGTACCTGACCAGAGCTCCCTCCAGGTGTAATGAAGCCTCACTCTGCATTTCTTCTGGTAGCACAGCAGCTTATGCACAATCTGAATACACCGCCTGGAGAAAAAAAAAAGAGGGGGGAGGAAAGGCCATGGCATTAAGGCTCACCACCAACTTTCCCAGAAATTTCACATCAGACCTGGAAATGTCTACAAAATAAGCACATTTGCCCCTTGCAGGAAACAGACAAATTCAAACCCTAAGAGAAGATGTGGCTCACTGCCTGGAGCTCCCAAAGGGAAGGGATACCCAAAGAACCAGATCCAGAATCAGGTTTGAGAAAGATCAGAGACAGGAGCTGGTATTGCACTTTAAACACACTATGACAGGACAGACTGCAGATGCAAGAGTACTATCCTTGGATTTTTAAGCTTTATTTTATGTTTGATATTTTTCCACACTTTGCTGACCTCATACAAGGACCCCAAGCCTCAATGAAAGGAAGTAGATTCATTTGCAAGTTCAACCTATATGAGATACAACTCTCAGACTTCACAAAATATGGTCACAGAAGAGCTTTTCCATTTCTATTGAGCGGAATGCTCAAGTTTCTGTATTCATCAATAAGGGGGTTTCTCCACAGTTTGGCTGAAGAGCAGGACAAAGGGAGGGGAGAGTGAGTGGAGCCATGAGCTGAGTGGGACAAAAAGAGCCATCTGCAAGGAGATGGGGGCCTTTACAAAGGAGGGAAATAGGGCAATTGCCCCACATTCTTAAGTTACACAGCAAAACTAACTGCAGGATATGTAATTTCATTGAGGAAGGCCTGCAGTTCACCTATCTGGAAGGGGAGAAGGGGATTTCAGACCAGTTTTTCAGGATTCTTAACCAAAGCATTTAAGTATGAGCTCAGAAATGATCAAGCAACACACCTGCAAATTCTGAAATCCCCCAACACACAGCTAATATATTTCTGAAGTCTCCAAATCCTGCAGGCCTTTATGACACCTACTGTTTATACAAAATCCTCTGTGCAAAAACATTTTTCATGAATAACTAAACAGGCAATAGAGCAATTTTCTAACACTAGCTCTCATTGCAGACAAGATAGAAAACATATCCAGGTATGTATTCTGTAGTCCAAACTATGTTAAGTTATTGACATTTAGAAAAACAGAAGGAATTTTTCAAAAAAGAAAAATTCCTTTTTTCAATTTTCTTTTTTCTCAAAAACGCATTACATTACTAATAACAAAGTCTCAGAAAAGATGCTACTAAAATAGAGCACAGACAAAATCAAATAGAAATCAAATTAAAATGTTTGTTCACAAATTACCCAAAATGGAATAAAATGGTTCAAAATAAATCTTTCAAAAACCTTCAGGAATAACATGCACATGGCATTCATTCATCTTAGCAGACCCTTAGATAATCTCAAACACGAGGGAGCAAGGACTGAAACGGCAAACCTTAGAGCAATAAGGTAATAAAAATTTACGGCAGCTGAGCATCACCTTGAGTGCTAGTTTTTCATTCTCAAATTCTACCAAGAAAAAATGTAGCTGGGCTAGCACTGACAGCTGCATTTAGATCAGGGACAGCAAATGTTCTAAGGAGAGAGCTACCATTTCTGATGTAACTGGCATTGGAAGATCTTTAATGAATTTCCAGATACACATTTGCTTGGCATGAGGATCAGAATCGGCCTCTGTGAAAAGCTGTTTAGGGCAGAAAGCAGAAGGAATCTGGAAAATGCTAAAACATTTATTTCAAATTATAATAGACCTGAGTGCAACATATTCTGTAGCTGTACCTTAGCATTGAAAGCTACTGGTTGCATAGTATTCCTCAGGGAAAGCAGTGCATGGAGGAAACAAAACAAACCAAAGAATAGAATAGAATAAAATAAAATAAAATAAAATAAAATAAAATAAAATAAAATAAGCAACCAAACAAACCGCCCCCCAGCCCTTAACAGCCCTGGTGCCCCTCCCTAAGGGGCCTGAGCACCACCACCTTCAGAGATGCAACTGCAACCACAGGGTATTCTTGGGGTTTGTATTGGGGATTCATAATATACACAGCAGTCAAAAGCCACTTTTGGTCAAAGCAACTTGGATTTCTCTTGTAAATATTAAATATGCCCTCCATTGAGCAGCCTCAGATTGTCACTTTTAGATGTATTGCAGAGAGATGACACCCACTGTGCTTGCAATAACCATGTTTGCTATGGGACTGTTTCAGACAGGAATGCAATGAAAAGACTACATAAACATGCCAAAAGGAATGGACATCAATGTCCACTGATGGTTGCTACTGCTCATTATTTTCACTCCCATGAGGATTCTAGACGGGAATTTACCTTCGAGCCCGAGCATTTCACATCTTTCCTGGGAAATTTCAATACATGATGCATCCACAACTAATTCTGTAATTATCATTAAAAATAATTTCTCACAAACTTCCTATTGAACAATATAATCCTTGCAAAAGCACTGCAAAGTCAGACCATGCTGAAAAGTTACTTTAAGGAAAAACAGCCTATAGTTTGTCTCTCTTCTATTAAATATAAGGATGCTTAAGCCTTGAGGGGACTTCAGAACAGTATAAACAGGGAATAGCCAGTGATCTGCCTAAATCCCAGTTTTGCCCTCCATGCTAAAGGAAAACAAAGCATCCCACGGGCCCTGCAGGACACAATGTGTGCTCTGCATGGCCCCATCCTCCTCCTCCTCCCACTTTCCCTGGTGCTAGATTTTACCCTTGCTGCCTACCATCTTGCAGGAAGTCTCTCTCCCATTATCTACTCTGTCTTCCAGGCCTCATGCCAGATGCACCTGGTTTCTGAAATTGGCTTTTCAGTTTTCAGATCAAGACTCAGCTTCTGGAATACCTGAGCATGTATTCTATTTTTTTTTTTCAGAACCAAGTTCTTTGTATTTGATCAAGCAGATTAGGAAGTCAGTCTGGAAGGTAGAAATTCATTTTGCTTTCAATTTTCTGGCACACAGACTGTTTTTAAAGTAGAAAAAAATTGCTGGAAAAGTTCATGAAAAGCCATCCAGCTCCCCACCAGCCACAAAATATTATTTCAGCTGGAAGATTGTTACACAAGCAGAACTCAAAATCAAACTTCAAATGAAATTATGAGTCTGCCCACAGACACTTACACATAGAGATCCATAGGAAATTCTTTCATCATGTGTGTTACAATGAACTCCACCATCAAATCTAAGACAGAAAAGAAAATGATAAAGTGAAGAGCTAGCTACAGTTAAATTCTGGCAGACAACAATGAGGAAATCAACCTAACCTACCAACCAACCAGACAATAGCCCTACTGAGAAGAGAAAAAAATCCTCCTCCCTCTCCCCTCCACCCTTTTATTCCTTAAAAGAATTAGACATCTTCTGGAATTAAAAAAAGAAAAGAATACATATTATACTGGAAGCTGAGAGCATATAATGCAATTTGCCTTAAGTCACTGCTTTCCCATCACTATTAATCAAATTAAGAATACACCACTTATTCTGAAGCTTAGCGTTGCTCTTGTATTTCAAGCCTTGTCAGGAGAGGAGAATTCCATTAAGAAATACATTTTAGAAAGTGATTTCCATCAGAAACCACATACAATTCAAAGGTTTACTTGCAGAGGTTTTTTAGAGAACACCCATTTATCCATAAAATCAGTTTTGAAGGAAGTAAACCCGGACTGATTTTAACACAGTCTAAGCTTCTGCTTAAGCTTTATTCAGAAGGGGAAAAAAAAAAAAAAAAACAGAGAGAGACTGTCACTTTAACGTTTAAGGGATCCCAATGTGAGTATAAGAGGCAAAGAGCACAGAAATAAAATCAAAAGACAAAGTTACTATGGCTTAGCTAGTAAGTGCTAACTGAGTGTGAGTGTGTGCCCTCTGGCCAATGCACCTTCAGCATAAAACACATTAGCTTAACCCATGTTTGTGGTAAGAACTGTAAAATGTGACTTCCTAGGGTCCAAACAACCCTGCAAGTTGGCTCAGTAGGGTCCAAAAACAGATGGCAAAGAATGTAAGAAATCTAGCAATTCTAGATGGATTCTTCCCCTGGCTGTTCTATTCCAGCTTTCAAAATCATCCGCTTGAAAATGCCAGAGTCAGAAACTGCATCTGTACCATCAGACTTAACAGCCATCCAGGGACCCAATCTCCATCCTCTTCTGTACTAATTTATGCTTTTGGCCTCCACAGCAGTGAATTTCACAATTTAATCATAAACTGAGTGAAAAGCTTTCAACTGTGCTTCCACATGCACAGGTGAAACCAACCCCAGCTACTGGCATTACTATTCTTTTTTAGCCAACACCATCCACCTCAAATACCTGTCCTTTCTGTAATCCTGCCCCCATTATAACATCTAGAAAGCGTTTGTGACTAAATTATTACACTCACCTAAAAGTATTATTGTACTAAGTAATGCTCCTCCACGTTGCTATTTATTCAGGCAAAAGGAGGCCCACAGGCTTTTGCAAAGCTTCCTATAAATGTACAAGATTCATCTCTGTAACAGAGTAGGATATAAGGATGGACCACCCACTGCTGGAAACCTCCTCAGGACCTAATCTCCCTCTTTCTAAGGCCATCTGCTCCTTTTCCCATTGCCTAACAAAAGATACTTTGGCAACCCGAGCAAACAGGCACCAACAACACTCACCTAGCACTGCACACACCAGCGGGCGACAGGGCAGGTTCTTGTCTGCTGCCTTCTTCCTGTGTCTCATTGGCTTCAAATAAAGATTAAAAGAAGGCAAAAGTCTGAAGTGACATGCTGCACATTACGGTCTATTTTTCATGCAAATAATACCATCAACACAGTCTTGCCTTTATCTTTTTCTAATTGCACTCTCACCTATATTAATCTTGAAAGCCAAGGCTGGAGCAAAGTGCAGCCACTTTTCAGCATGTGGACAGCTGGGTTTGGGTTACTCTGTGTAACTGGAGGTCACAGCCACATCACAGGACACAGAATCATACAGCAATTCCTCTGATTTGCTCCTGATCCAGCAGCCTGATTTGTATTCTTAATAGCAGATGCAGCATTAAATGTTTTTGGTTTTGATTGCATGAGACCAAAGGCTATCTGAACGGGGAGTTTGCTGCAAAGCATGAAATGTTCATGCTGTTATGTACACTTTAAGATAAGAAGTTTTATTCTGTCTGTGACTTTTTATGATTCCAAACATCACTCTGCTGTGGGTTGAGGTGAAACTTGACAATACCACTAGGGAGAATACCTCAAGTCAGGATAACCGTTCAGATACTTGCAACTATACAACTTCATGAGCCAGGTAAGGACACTTCCTCCATGGATACCCAATGGGAAAAGACTGGAAAAAAAAATACTTTCCTCCTTGAAGGTGAACAAGTCACCCATGAGAATGCATAAGGTGAATCTGAGCAATCAGGGCAATTTGGATGGCCATTAATATATGACACAAGGACTAATGTTTGCTGAAGGTTAGGACAGAACATTCCCTGTTACTGATTTCCTCAGAGACCTCATGTTACGCTGCTCTTCACTAGCTACACTGGCCAGGCCTCTCTCAAGGACCATCATTAGCACAGAAGTCTGAATTAGCCAGCAGGGTTACAAGCTCTTTGTTCTGTGAAGGGGAAGTCATTCAGGGAGTGATCTCAAGATCATTCCCCCAGTATTGCTTTTATCATAGGATTTCCACACAGTCTTAGCAATCTAGGCTAGGTGTCTGTGGCACAGTTTTCAATATACAGGAACTCAAAACCTCAGTGTTCTCATTCTCAAGAGAAAGCAAAGCATCTGTGGAGAAAGACTCACCATCCTATGTAGGTTTACTCGAAAATTCATGTTGTCATCATGCAAAAAAGCATTAGCATATTGATCCTATTGAAAAGCACAAGAAAGGGAGAAGAAGAGAGGATCAGTAAACTGCCCAACACCTTCCACTCGGCTCTTGCGTCCCAAGTGTTTTTGTATAAAACTCTCAATGATAAGTAGTTAAAAGGTTAAAAAGCTACCTGTCCCCTCCTCTGTTTCCTACCTGTACCTCAAGTGGGCAAGGGAAATCAACCCCTCCTGCCCCCAGCTCTACTTTAATTAAAGTCAGCATTACTATTTTTTGTTGTTGTTTTGTGAGCAATTTTCTATTTCTTTTATTTGTTCATCCAAATTGTGGCCTGCACATACCACAGCATCCAGATTTTAACAATTGCTGCATAATACATGAAGTCTCACAGACATCTGTGACAAAGCAAGGAGAAAGGTTTAAATCAGCATTTTGATAAACCCCATCATGCCAGGAGTTACTGCAGCACAGGTAGTAAGTAGGTCAATCAGCCATCTCACCCATCAGGCAAATATCTTTCCAAGAACAGCTCTAAACCAAACTAGTATCTGGGTAATGCACAGCCAGGCCAGGTAAAAAAAAATACATCAACCCTTTAACACCACAGCCAAACCATACCCTTGCTATGTAGAAGCAGCATTTCTTATGCTTCATTATCTACACATCTGCCAGGAGTACTCAGGTTCCAAAAAAACTAGTTATAAATGTTTGAAGCAAAGATGTTTAGCTTTTAGACTGCACTTTGAAAAAACATTACTTCATAATCCTTACATTGGCTATGAACTTCATTGCTTTTTGTCCTTTATTAAGGATCAAAGATTTTTACTTGCAAGAGAGCAGAACATGAACACACACAGGTTTCAGTCACCATTCAGGATATCAGTCAAACCATCGCATGCACTTCCCATGACACATGTGAGGAAGACACATGAGACAGGACCACTTCCAGCCAAGGCTAACGACATAGCCCTGTTATACTGATTTCCCTCTCCATCATCTGATCTGCTGCTCTCTTGCTGGCAGGGACCAACCTGCCAAACGGCTTTATTTCAGACACGTCCTTCTTGGACAGATGGAATATGGCACCGCCCATGATCGCTCAAACAGCACAAAGTTGAAAGCCATTAGCACAATTACACATCTAAAAGCCTATAACATCTGAAGGTCTCTCAACAGCATTTAACTGTTTTCTCTCTCTCAGTCCCCATGAGCTGACTAAATCAAATAAGATCTTCAGTTTTCAAGTTTCAACCCAATTTCTCAGTTTTCAAGTTTCAATCCAATTTTAACAGTATTGCATCAGGCTTATCAGCAAGATGTAATTGCTTCAGGCCCTCATCACTCATTACATTCAGCTCCTCGTCAACAGGAAGCAGGGGACAGGCACGCAGATAGGACCCTGTAGAGAGAGCACCTGCTGAAGTGTCACACAGGAAACCTACCTCTGCTATGCATGTCAGGATAATCAGACACAGCTTGCCACTGTGCAGCCGGTGCTCATCTGCAAAGAAGCAAAAACAAATGAGCAGTGCTGAAGAGTCAAACAGGCGGAGGCCCTTGCTCCCGCAGCTTGGAGATTCTTTCTACTCCTGCCTCTTCCGTGACAGACACTATCTAATCACACACATGGAGCTCTCTCTCTCTCTCTCTC